TTCGTTATTAATAATATTAATTATTATTTAGATTTATTAAATATATAATGCATATTGTTGCATTTTTATCGTTAATAATTGGTTTAATACTTAAAATACTTTTGTATTTTAACATTGCCTTTGATTGCAAATTAACTCTTTTATTTTATACACAAAAAAATTTTAATTAAGTAACTGACATACGAGATATTATAAATGCGTATATTGCAATTATTTTTTAAAACTTAGTAAATCAAATAACGATTTACTTTTATATTCATGTTTATTGAACAGTTTAGAAATATTTTAATATTTTTACGCAACAAAGTTGAGTAAGAACGCGTATTGTTATAAAAAGGAATATAATATAATAAATATTCTACAAATATATATTCTTCAAATATAAAAAAATAAGATCTTTAATTTACAAAGAAACATTAAGAATCGGCATCATTTACATGACATTGTTTACTATGTAAAGGTTGAAACTTCGTATATAAGCGTAAAAAAGATATTTTACTAAAGTATTTAAATCGGAAAATTGTGACTATAAGTATGTGAAACGAAACATATACGTAAATTTTCACACACATCTTCTCATTCTCCGATATCGTATTTATTGATACGCGGTATTGTTTTTCGTTTGCCTTTCGTCAATGCGTGTTACCTTGTAAGATACAAAATGAATTGTAGATGTAAGACCTGTGGGAAATCACTCTGATACGTAAAACTTTATAGCTCTATTTATCTGATTCAACTGTTCGCATCGATAATGGAGACTGTGAAGGTAAGGATTTATGTACAGAAAGAAAAAAGAACAAAAAGCGTTGATTTACGCTTATGAAGTAACGGTGAAGTACGACATCGCGAATACCAGAATTTAAGATTTACTCTTATTATATAATTTACAGTAACGAACAACGATTATGCGTTTCGTCGAGATTCACGGAGTAATTGTAAGATGAATTCTATGTGCAATTATTCCTATGTAAAGTAGCGCGAGATTTCTCATGGTAATTCGCATCTTTCTGTGTTTAAATTAGGTAAATATAGATATAAAAGAGCTGGAAAAAAGGGAGCGCATCCGAGCGTAAAATGCATATTACGGTTTGTAGATTATCAAAGAAATTTTTGAAACAAAGTGATATTAGACAAGAAAATGATAACGGTGAAAAAATATCCCGTAATTGTACCAAAAAAAAAAACGAAAATAACATGGATTTTATTCTATTCGATTTATTTTGTACGACAATTAAAGCAACGAAGTCTCTGTACTGTTTCAGGATGTGCTTTTATTAGATTAAAGAGATTGTGCTGCCAAGTGTAAACATTAAAAAAAGAATGAACAAGACATTGAGCATTTTCTTGAGATTATATTCTACTAAGCTCCATAAAGCGACCGATGTTGCGGCTACATTTCATCTCATTCTCTTTTCTTCTTTTTCTTTCTTCCTTCTCTCTCTCTCTCTCTCTCTCTCTCTCTCTCTTTCTCTGTCTCACACACACTCGCACATTGTTGTTATTTTGCTTTTGTCTTTACACAAAAAAATAGTGCCAATGTAATTATAAAATTACGTGTATTATACATCTATAAATATTTGTACGTCCGTTATTAATTAAAAATAAGTATTATATCGTACGTATATTATATAAATAGGCTCGCATTTAACAATGTGCCTATGGGATCTTATGAATTTTGAATTCTAAGATCTATGGCTTATCTGAGTTCTTCATTCTGAACAATCTTTTCACTTGTGCATGTGTTATAAGAGATGTGCGAATCAAAGTTTTTTAACGCCGAATCGAATCGAATTAAATTAAATCAAATCACTGAAACATAACTTTTAACTAACAACAATTATTGTTAGATTGAATTTTACATAGATAGTAAAAAAATTTTTATCTGTTTACTTACTAATGGAATTTTATAAGATTGTTAAATATGTAATTTGTATTCAAATCTTTTAGATTCAACATTTTTGAATAGTTCGAATTCGAATTATACAGATCTTATCTGATTCGATTCGTATAGTTCGCACATTTCTAACGCTACTGAATTGTGTTTCTATATATATATATATATCAAATAGCATAGCTGTAAAAACATGCACTATATTAAAGCGTCATAATTTGCGTATTTGTAATTAGCTAATTTATTCTTATTACATCTCTTTACATTTTCTACATCTTATGGCTTACTTAAGTGTCGAGTCTTTACTGTTATCGCATATTTAACACTATACGCAATCATGTAATTAATTAAATTAATTTAACTGTAGAAATTAGCGCTTTTTTTCGGTAGGAGATAGTTTCATTTAGTATTAAATATGCGAGCGTAATCGGGATTATCGCATGCTTCATAATAACTATCGAAAACTGAATTATAATAATTACGTTTTAATATGTGTTCAATTGTGAAATCAATCATATCATGATCTCTGTTAATGTGCGATATTCGCCGAAGATGATTTGCGAAAATATAGCTTGGTTTGCAAGTATGCATTCAGCATTGTTTGTGTTTGTTACAAATGTTAGATTATTTGGTGGCCGCCGACATATCAATTATTGACGCGTTCTAATAATCAATTAACATTGAGTATTATGAAAATCTTCATGTATCATAGTTGAAGATATTAATTCCGCGAAAAAGAGGCGTCTGCCGTAATCTCTATTGTCCGCAAGTAGATATATCTTGTAAAAAAATTGCAACTACTATGGCTGTGCGATAATTTTTATTCAAGTGCTGCAATTGTCTCTATATATCAATTAATAGTTCTTATTCTTTTTTTCTTTCGCTCTACATATATATCATAAATTTTAAGCTCCTGTTTTCCACGTATAACAATTTCTAACTGTGAATTAGAGAATTTTCTTCGATGTCTATCGAAAGCCGCTCGATAATAAATTTATAATATTTTAGATATCATTATTCTAATTTTTTTCTTCGATCTTTAACGCGACGAAATTTGATATTAGATGTTGTTATTGTGTAATTTGTGATTTACCAATTTTTATTAGATATTTCATAATCTATTAATTGTTATTTTAATGAAGTTAATAGAAGTATTTCTTCGCGCTAAGATTCAATGCGTTACAAATTTCGTTTCTGTGTATGAGTATATCTACCTGTTTGTATGCTATCAGTCAGTATGTGTATCTGTGTTTTTTGAAAGAATGAAGTATGCACCTCGCAAGGATCGCGATGAGATTCGTCTCTTGGCTTCCTGTTTTAAGTAAGAATCTTTATCGCTGAAAGATTGTATGTAAAATACAATAATTTGCAAGTTCTCTTCATTAGACTGTATATACGAGGGCGTTTTGACGTGATCGGGTTTGCGAATTAAAAGTGATTAGTGATGAACGATATTAAAGATTCGTTCTCTCGCAAAGACTATTTATAATCCATTATGATGATACGAGCACGTTATGAAGGAGACGTTGTAAAACTTAATTAATACAATTTAAAAGAGCACGTCGGGCAAGCGTTGCGGAGGTTCTTTCTAATTAATGAGTATGTCAGATATTTTAAGTCTGAAAGTGAAAACTTCTTTCATTGTATTATAGAGGATAAAGGTTGCGATATAACGGTCGCCATGAGCTCCCACTTATGCGAACTATTAATAGTGAAATGCGTCGACTATTATCGAAGACGTAAGCGGTTCATCGATATTAAACACAAAAGATTTTCTTTTTTAAAAGTATGACGTAATTTACTCGACGTTATGTAATGTTAGAAATAGTGCGCAGCGTGCGCATTATTTTACAATGTAAATGTTGGAATTTTATAATAATAAGTAATATAGTTTTGTATATTTATTTAGCTTTTAATGTATTTTACACGTTACTATGTACATGTTATCTACAATTATAAGGATATATATCAGTGCTTTTGTATTTTTCCATTTTATGCATTTCGATTATTAAACTTATTTATTTATTGTTGCAAAATGTTACACGAAGGAGTTAAATGAAAATGTCAAATCACGATATCGATACTTACATACGTGTACATATATATTTTAATTTATAGATACATGTAAATTAAAATATACAAATTAAAATAAAGACAAATTGAATTAAAATTTTAAACTTAAAATTTGCATTTTAATTTTAACAAGGAAAGTGTCCGAAAAATTTATAATAATAGAAAAAGTACGAACATTAGCATGTTCGATAAATAAAGGCTGCAATTTAAAAAAAATTTAATTAGATTGATTAATGTTAATGTTTTTTACGGTGTTATCGAAATGACATGACGTGGCGACCGTTTAACAAATTAGTTTCTAGATATTGTAATGAAAGTCTTCTCATGTAGAAAATTCATCGAGTCATTCACATATAAGTTGTCAAGATCGTTGATACAATACGATCTAACTGTTATAAACAGTTAAAAAAAAAATAAAGAAGCAAAACAAATTGATAAACACATAATCCTCATGGTTTGCAAGCGATAAATTTATCGTGACGATTGCAAATGCCCAGTATACTATTCCAAGTAAATAAACGCTTGTTGAATAGTTTATTGCGTAATATACGATATTGTGTTAATTGTGTATAATTCCAAGAATGTAATATTAAATGTAACTCAATGTATATTACGTGACTTTACGTCAGACGCTGTATAAATATTTCTAAACATGCAAATATATTATAAAATATTTTCCCGAAAATCTCTCTTGTTTCTCCGTTTCTGCGCGATCTTTCTCCGACATAAAACTTTGCGTATAATTTTAAGTTTATATTTAATTTTTTTATTACAATGTAACAGTTAATATAATAATTAAAACAAATTTTTATTATGATTTTTAAAATTAAATTTTTAATATTTATATTGAAAATCAAAATATCCCTTAATTATCTTTAATCATTGAATTTGTGCGAATATGCTTGTCGAAATCAGTTATAATTAATACTTATGCTTGTGATATTGTTGAAACTTGATAGAAATCTCGCTGCGTTTCTTGAGAGTAAAATTTTTGGATTTCTTGTTGCTTATAGACTGTAATCGCCATTAATGCATATCTCATTGTTGCAATACAAACATAAAGTAGTCAATAGAGAAAAGAAATAATTTTGAAATTATTACTTACTTCTATAGATGTGTTCGTGATTATTGTGTTCGCAGTAAATATGATACTTCTCTCAAGCGACAATTCGGGATAATTCTTAGGAATCGTAAATACTAATTTCTTCTTAGGCATAAAATTCGATCTGTCGTTTTTCATTTGTTCTGAAAAAACAAATATGAAAATCAAAAATGCAAAAATGCAATAATCAATGGAAGAGTAGCATATCATTCTGACAACAATGATATGCTAAAGAAATTATTGCACTGATTGATTACATTAATTGATTAAATCGATTTAATTAGAATTACAATATATTGGAACGTACTTGCGCAATCTGAACCATTCTTGCGTCGTTTGACTTTATTTCCATTATTAGAAATTATTTCATCATATATCGGCATCGATATCGTTTCAAGTTTGTACGAAGATTGCGAAGAACATATCAATCTAGAATTAAGTGATAAATTTTTTTATATAGTTATCGTTATAATTGTTTTAGGCTCAGTTCTACCAATGTAAGATTAACTTTAATCTCAGTTTATCTTTTAATGTTTATGTTTCTAATTCTCAGAATTAAAAAAAGAGTAAATTAAGCCGAGATTAAAATTAATTACATTAGTGAAAGTGTCAATTGTACATACTTCAATAATTCCGTGACATCGTCCGAGATTAATTGCAACTTTCGTAATTTTGTTAAAGCGCTCTCCACTTCTCGTTTAATATTCTTTCCTTGATTAAGATCAATCATTTCTGCTTTGATAGCATCGATTTCATTTATGAGATCAATCAGCTCGGAGCTCTTTTTCGTATCTAACAGAATTATCTTCGGTTTAACGCGCGCGTGCGAGTGAAAGAATCTGAACCCTTTAAGAGTAACTTCGACCGTACTAATAAGTGATTAACTTAATCGGTAAAATTAATTCAGCAAATAATACTGTTTCGTTAAAATGGATAAAATTATCATCTTTTTTTTTGTTTAATATATGAAAAAAAGATTAAATTCGGGACAATGAATCGTATAGTTGAATATTGTATTTTAAATAGATAATTTTGCCAATTAATTTAATTCTCGATTAACTTAATAGGTGATTGGCTTATCAAATAATTATATTATATTGTTGTATATTTTATTAATATGCATAGAATTACTTATTTTTTTATTTTTTAATATGTGGAAAAAAACCGGATCCAGAAATTATATAAAAATTTATGTTAGATAATTCTATTAGTTGAATTAATTGTCGAAGTTAATCAAAATGCGGTTAAAATTGCCAAAATTTTTAATCTTTATATAATCCCACCATCTTTACAGTTACTCCTTGGCTTTGCACAATTTGTAAGAAAAGGATGATATTGAAAGATAACAGCAAAATCATGTTCATGTGAGAATCGCCATATCTGTTCGCATAATGAGTCTTCCAGCGACCACACTTGATAATTTAATTTCTCCTGAATTAAAAAACAAAAAAATATCTCGCGCATTTAATGTAATTAAGAGATGAATTACGATTTAGCGATTTAAATTATACATATTCCAATAATTAAATTAATGATACGCAACTTACGGCTCCCCAGGCTGTATGTGGCCTATTTATGAACTGTTTTTTTGTGTCGGTTTATTGCCAAAAATATAAAATCATATTTTCTATTTTACGCAAATAAAATAAACATTATATGAATCGAAAGATTTTGCCTATTTTAAAAAATAGCCTTTCAGAAAATGATTCTTAAAAAAGATTGTGCATCATAAATGATCGATTATTAATTGATCATCTTAATTTGATAAAAATCAATTATTTAATTAAATAACTACAATAATAATTTTAATTATATAATTCAAATTTATATTTAGTTCATATTTAATTTATATTCAAAGCTTTACACACACATATTTAAATTTATCCAACTAATATCTTTTATAAATTAATACAAATAATTTCTGCAAATATTAAAAAAAAATTTAAAGTTATTCAGGCAGAATTTTATTAATTGGTTTATTACCAGCTCTCGTTTTTCTTCCTCCAGTATCTTTTTCTTCTCCAGAAAGCTATCTCGATACATACTTATTGTGTCCTTCGTGATTTTCAATTCTACATATTTATTTCCGTATGCGATTAGAAAAGGATCAGGAGCAAGATTTTTCATACTGCTCGAAGAATCGTTCTTGGAATCGATCATCCTTGTCGTTTGCTATATCAAAGTAAAATGAAATTATAGCTGCATATATCATTAAAGTCATTCTTTGTTCATAAAGTTTTTCAAGCAAGAGTTTGGATCTCGCTTAGATACTTTTTTTTTATTTAAAATTATTAATAACTACAAAGAAATTCATATTTTATTATTATTTTGTAATATATTTTTATTATTATTATTATAGCAGTAATATTTATACGTATAAACTTTGAATTAAGTTAAATCAGTTTTGTATTAATAAATTGTGTAAACGATAAACTGATTAATTTAAACATTTTAATAAAGAATATTGCAAGTAATTAAAAATGTCTAAATTCTTACTTGAAGAATTTTAAGTCCTTTTCCATCAACGAACCTGCAATGTGGGCAGTTAAATCAGAAAATCGATTGTATTTTGAAATGAGATAAAAATTATAAAAGTGATTAAAAAAATTCACTAGAATATTTATAACTTCATTGGTTAACACCTAGTAAATTTGCTCACTTTTGTAATTTTCACATGATTCACAATCGACTCTCAACTGTTCTCAATTGTCGAGTCGAATCGACGAATGAGAAACCATTGTGTCTCTCGAGTTTCGATGCGCATTGAAAACCGTATATAAGCTTCTCGGCACGTAAACAAACTTCAAAACACGCGAGTGCAAATGTGATAAAACGTGATCGTTCCGAGATCTTTCATTCGAACATTATACGATTATTGAAGGTTATACGCACAAGACGAAAACCAACCTCATGAACTGGAACGGGACGAAGCTGTTGAAGAAACCGTAAGTTTATATTTCGAAATAAGTTTATATTTGCTTGAGACCAAAGATTTCACGTAACCTTGAAATATTTATGAATCAACGACGGCGAGTCCAACACGCCAAGACAAGGCGGGAACAAATGATATCGTTGTAGCAATTCGTCTAATTTCTATCTGTATTTGCAGCGATCCGCGATCTGCATATCCCCAGGGAGTGCGATGCCAAAAGTGTCTGGAGATGGGACACTGGAGTTACGAATGCAAAGGCAAGAGGAAATACCTACATAGATCTTCTCGCACTTCGCAGCTGAAGAAAGCTATACAAAAGCAAGAGAATGGTGATGAGTATGTCGTTTAAGTTCTTCCATTATATATACACGACATTTCTTATTGAATCAATACCTAATAAATTTCCTTTAGACTTTAGAACAAGGAAATATATCTTAACTTATCAAGGATATTTAGTAAACTAGATTTATTTTAAACAATGTTTCTTCAAAAGGATGGATATATAAACCGAGAGAATATATCACATATTTTTTTTTAATTTTGATCTTGATATGAGATAACATATCTATAATTATGCTAAAGAACGTTTTCCAGCAAAGATATAATTGACACAGAGGGATATCACCTTGTTAGTGGATTTGTAGTGAATTGTGTCATCCTTGTATAATATTAATAAGTAACGAAGATACAACAATTCTGTGTATGTATTACATTAGACCTATTCTTTTTAATTAAACTTTTTGCATCACTTATCTTTTTTCTTTTTTTCTTCAACTTAAAGAAAAAAAGAAAGAAAAAAACCTTGCAAAAAGTTTAATAAATTATTATATCCTTGTTATTAATGTTAAATAAGGATGAAATTATTTACTGTGTTATCTGTATTTTACTGAAAACCTTTAAGTTGAGGAGGATCTTAATGCATTATTATACCATGCTTTAGTCAAGAGCAAGAAAAAGAAGCAAAGCATCATCACAACAGCAAGAAAATGAGGAAAGAGGATTCCAGCCATTCAAGCTGGAGCAGCAGTTGTAGCACCTCCAGCAGCGATAGCAGCATAAGTTCCAGTAGTAGTAGTAGTAGTAGTAGTAGTAGCAGTAGTTCCTCGGATAGCGAATCGGATTCTAGCGATAGTGTATCTAGTAGCAGTAATAGCAGTACTACTAGTAGTAGCAACAGCAGTCACGATTCCTACAAAAAGAAATAACACAGATACTATTGCGTGAAGTGAGAAGTCGAGAAGAAATTTCTTTTAGATTGTCTCTGGCTTTTGACAAAATATCATTGTTCTATCTGAATACAATGCCATTTTGCCTTTAAGCAAAATAACTCGATAGAGGAAAGAGCAAGTTGAATTTTGCGATGAAATTCTCTTTATGCCTTTTCTACAGTGACAAATATTTTTATTTTAACATAGAAGATGTTTGCTTAAAACAAAAATTTCAATAGTAAATTAATCTTTTTTTTTCTTTAATTTTGTAATCTAATCACGTTCATGATTTATTATATTTCTGCTATTTAGCTTTTCTATGACATGTATAATTTGTTATATTTCTACTATTTAGTTTTTCTATGATATATAGTACATATACGTATGATCATTTAATTTTGTTCACCAAATGATTGAACAAGAATAATGCATCATATATATCATGTGTGACACAGAATACAGCCTATATCTTATTATATAAGAACATTTCTTTGATTGCGAGAATTCGTATTGTGTTAATAACAACTGTCATTTCTTTCATAAGGGCTTTAAAATGTTTTATATTAAATATAAATGTGAAATCAATTGCTAGTTGTTGTATAGAATTGATATTTAAATAGAATGTATTAGTTTTGTACTGTTGTACGCACATAGATATATGATAGAAAAAACTATTTGATTTGTTAGAAACATAATATATTTAATGACAAATCACAATAATTAAATTTATATAATATTTAATAATGGTATTAAAAATGTTGAGCGCTCTGTCAGACATTTCAACATTAATGTATCGATATAAAAATTTTATGTGTGGGATAGAAAAAAAATCGCTATTTTGTTACGTATAATTTAAATACATGTACAAAAATACAACGCCGCTTTTTTCCGGATTAATCTTCAATATCTTCAGGCAGAGTCTGTATTATTACTTTCCTTCTTCGCTCGTAAATAAAATTATTTGTCTTGAATATGTCACTCTCGTAGAACGGATGTAAGTTATGTATGTCAATTTGTTTCGCCTGCAATCAAAAAACTGATATTAGTATAAAATGCGCTTAACTTCCCACACAGGCACGTAAAAAATGAATGAAAGTTGTCATGTAAATCTTTATAAATAATGTAAGATAATATTCTGATGTAAACTATTTTTTTAAACTAATTAGGACAAGATAAAGTTTTTTAGCCCAAACCATTTTGATATAATTTTCTAATTAGGTGTAATTATATTTGTTAAATTCTTTCCCCCTCTTCCTTTTTCATTTTTGCGAACATATCAATTTAATATAATAATATAATTTGCATTACCCGATCCAACAGATCCTTCTCAGAGATCTCGACGGTCGTGATACGTCCGCCGTGCAAAGCTTTCTGAAATGCCAATGTGTCTAAAGTGATTTGTCGCAGTATGTAATACAAAAGTTCGCTGTGATCTTTCTTATACGATAGATATTTCTGGAACGTCTGTAACGAGATTAAGAGCACGCGATAAGATAGAAAATAAAAATAAACATAGATTGAAAGCGCAAACGAATAAATAGAAATGAAGAGATACCTGACGCATAGATTTCATAACGGAATATTTCTGCGTATCGACAAAACTATCGAGAACCATCCTGATGGCCAGATTCATATCACTCTCCTGAACGTGATCCCTTAGATGCATCTTGGCACTAGCTTCCGCCATACGAATAATACTTTCTATGTGGCGGACGGTGATTGGTAAACTCCCAGTCGCCTAAAATGTAATAATCAAAAACAATCATATTGCAATGCATCAAAATCTTTTTTATATTTAATAATACTTAATATTTTTTTATTAATCTTCTAAGATTATATATAAATAGATATATTTTTTCCTCTGTTTTATTGACTCACCAAACTTTCCTGTCTCAACTGGCTGTACAATTTCGCCACTTTGTCTTGATCGATGCTGGTTAGCTTCGGATGTACATTCTGCTTCGCGTAAACGATATACTTTTTTAAAAGATCTTGGGGAATGCACAGATTTTGCGTGGCGGGATCCAATATTACAGCTTGCGTTCTCTCCGTTCTCTCTGAACTATCTGTCGGATGATGCTTGATGTGCGAATTTACGACAAATTTGGCCAGATGACGATCTTGCATGGGATCAACCTCATCCTTGACTATACACAATACATCAAATCGCGAGAGAATCGGTTCCGATAAGTCCACCTATATACAATTTAATACACAACATATATAATTATCATTTAATCCCACATGTTTGTACAATCTTTAAGAAAGATTCTAATTTTATAATATAAATCTATAATTTTATATTTCCATGATATATCACATATATTTTACATTTTACAATTTCATTTACAAATTATAATTTTGTGTAATCGTAAATTAAAAAATGCTAAAAGTACATACATTTTCCGCAAAGGTCATACTGGGGTCGTATCGACCACCGATGGGATTAGACGCCGCTATCACTGCGCATCTGGCGTGAAGAGATGTAACGATACCGGCCTTCGAAATAGAAATACTCTGTTGCTCCATAGCTTCATGGATAGACGTTCTGTCCTGATCATTCATCTAGAAAAAATTTGTGCTGTTTCTAATAACTATATTCAAATCATTTTTGTAATATAAATTGTACATATATAAACATAATTTTGATATTATATATAAATAGTCTATATATTAATATGAAAACTATAAATATTAATTTCTCTCTCCTTTTTTTTCTTTATAACAGTCGTTATTGATAATATAAAAGTACGATATTTATAGATATTTATGTTATCAATGAGTTATTAATCGCATAAATTATATAAATTTATACTTTGTCGAACTCATCGATGAGACATATTCCGTGATCGGCGAGAACCAAAGCCCCAGCTTCCAAGGTCCATTCTCTGTTGATAGGTGATCTCCTAACGTAAGCAGTCAAACCAACGGCCGAAGCACCCTGACCTGTAGTGAATACAACTCTCGGTGCCACTTTCTCCACGTATTTCAAAAATTGTGACTTAGCAGTGCCAGG